TGACCTAAACAATGGATAATTAAATGGCTAAGGTATAACCCTAATGTTGCATAAGAATGCCTAAACTAGCACAAATAGAATTGCGGATAAACTCATGCCTAATTTTTGAACGAAGTGGTTGTGTTTTCAGTTTGTAAGAGATTAATACAGGCCTAGCAGAGTAAAGAAAGAAATCATAATCACCAAAAATGTTGAGAAAATGAGCATGTGGCTTGTGGAAAATAGTCACTTACCAGCTCGATGGTTGAGTCTAGTTATCTGCACGGTTAAATCGCCAAAAGGGTAAGAAAAAGGATCCGACGAAAAAACCGCCAAGGAGGCCGATTTCTATGAAAAACTACACTACCCTGTAAATCCGCAACTCTGCGTGTGAAACTATAACAAAATCGGGTGGTGGGCCGCAGAATTCCTTCACCAGAGCACCTGAAGTAGCAGCAAGTCACCTTCAGCTCTCGTATCTACGGTCGACAGAAATTATAAAATATCACCTCCAACGAGATAGAGAGTAGAGTACGATTTGCTACCACAAAATTATTAGACACAGAAGTTTTTTGTTATAAAAATGAAATTCTATATTTTTAAGAGCGACTGTAAAATGATCATCCTAAATAAGAAAAACGTTGTAATAATTTACTTTATCAAGATGTAGTTAATTTTTAGCCGACCATAAAAGAAACACAGCTTCTTATTTCTATATTTCTGACTGTCCATAAACTTTAGACTCGCAAATCTTCTTAGCAGTTTCATTTCACTTGCCTGTATTTTCTGTCTCTGTCTTTCACTCAGTAAGCGCAATTCTGAACCGGGTTGAGGTAGCGATATACAATGATTTGAACATCCTTATTTTTGTTTTTGTAGATATTTCTTTTTCTGTTAAATAGATGTTTATTTAGTTGGAAGTATAATCTTTTTTTTTCTACCTCTGCAACAATCCTAAATATTTGAACTTAAAATTATATTATTTGTTGTTCTAACCGTTTTTTGATATTTTGTGGGTCTTTAGAAATACTCATACTTTTTGTTCATATTTATTTTCAGTTTATATCTCCTTCCATATTGCAAGGTTATCTTGTAGGTCTTATTTTTAGTTTGCTATCAGTGCAAGGCTATCTGCGAACACCAACTGGTTAATATTTATGCTCTCCATACTATAGTATCCCCACGTTGTTTTCTTCATTCTATTTATGCATTATTTTATAATTTTATGCATTAGTACTATGAACAGATATGGGCGCAACGTTCTTCATTGTCTCACTGCTGATGTTATGGTAAATTTTTAAGATTTTTTACTGTTTGTTCTTACACAGTTTTCGGTGTTGTTATAATAGGATTTGTATGTTTTCTATTACTAAATAAACTCTTTCCAAATCAGATTTCTAAATTCATAATTGTGTTCCGTTATTCTGTCATACGTAGCGCTAGTATTTTCCAGATCACTTTTTTTGCCGTCAGAATACAGTAAATGATTGGCTATCTTCAGGTAGAATGCGTTAATTAATGGTTAAACACAAACTGCTCACAAAAGTACAAGTAGTAAGAAAAAAAATTAATAATTTTTTGGGCGAGCCTGCAGCGAAATACCATCCTGTATACGTCTACGCAACGACAAAATGAGATGATCGATGTCTGGTTGTGGCACTTCATTCAAAGCAGCTTGCTTTAAATATAGTCATTATGTTGCCAAAGAAACAAGTTGGAGAAATTATTATTCCTGAATGTAACACTTCTAATGTCACTGAGTACATTATAGTCTTTGTATATTCTACTGACTTTCTTTATTTTGATTCTAGGTTGATTCTCTAAAAGAATGGCTGGTGACTGACCTGAACGTAAGCAAAGTAGCTCAACCAAATCACAATGCCCAAGGTGTATTTTCATTGGGCACATACGATTTCCATGGAACGAGACACCTTTATTGGCTGGCTCCTGAATTGTATACTGGAAATAAACTTCACGCCTACGCATCTAACTTTACGTTCAAAGTACAATGGGTGGTAAGTTTAATATCAGAACTTTTGAGACAGTAATCGAAGCAAAATCAGTTGACATTTTTGAATATTGCATAACCTGGTTAAAGTGTTCCAAAAGAATGTTGCTTCATTAATTGACATCAGACGGTCGTGAAAAATTTGTATCAAGCCTAATTGAAATTAAAGATAATCACTATGGAATAGGATAGTCTTGAATGCTGACCTCAAGCGAGGCGTCTCATAACTGAATATATATGGCCCGATTTTACTAACAGGAGATCAAAATTCTTGAACTGGATCAAAATGGATCAATGGATACCTCTTTCCCGTAACGGATATAATTATTCTAGCCGATTTTCTTAAACCAGCGAAATAATATATGATTTGTGTAAAAAGGGCGTCTAACCAACATATTAAATCAAGAATTTTCTGTTAAATTACCTGGTGCTACAAAAACCTATGATTTGGATCAACAATGATCAATTACAAAGCGTTTTCTTAAAACTGCATGGAAATTTGGACAATCAGAGAGGAGCCTTTCATCCCTGCCCAAATCGTCGATCAAATCTTGTATGATGCCTAGATTGATATAACATCAATTACTGAGCTACCACATCAAATTGTTCATTGAGTCGTGAGGCTGAAGTCGAGGTAGATCCAATAGATGTTAGGTTGGTCGTATTACATTCCATTTCTACTCTTTTAATTGAAGTGAAAAATAAATGTTATTAGGTTCAACTACTATGTGTAACAACAACAAAAGATTTATGTGTTAATTCATATTATTCATGTTTGCTATTATTAGCTTGGCAGCACTACAACTATATCAACTAGTTCGCTTATTAACTCATTCATCGAGGCCATTTCTCCTGGTTTGGATTTAGGTACAAAAACCACTCTGATAAGTCTCCACGATCTTGGTATATCCCCAGCACCCTGAAAATGTTGCGTAGCTTACATATTAGGAGGTCCGTACCCTCCTGAAGTTATGCTGGGTAGATACCATGGAGCCTTGGATGACAAATGTGATGACCACCCATTTGGTTTTTTTAAAATCAACTGCGGCAGTTATTCCTAGAGGTTCCACTTGGCAGACTTACGGTTTCAGGTCCAGGATAGTTGATTCTGGGAAGTGTACCTGTTGAAGCTCTAGGATAGTCTCTCCTCCGGTAGAGATAAATGCACCGTTTTCTGTTTTTAGTGTATTTATTAAGCTGTGGAATTCCCTCGAGAGAATATTTTGGAGCGTAGCATATTCAAACGTCTGTTATGTATCCATGCAGGACATTCTCCATGATTCGCTTCTGGACTTCCTTAGAGCTTTGTTGTAACTGGTTAGGGCCTTTCTCTAATCATTCCATTGTCCAGTTCTATTTGCCAAGTTGAATTTGTGCTTCACGCTGCTCCTCAGGTTTCCAATGTCACCAGATCACCAGGGCACGTTTCTGTTGGTCCCCTTGCTTGTCAGGGGCAGTTGTCATGAAAGGCGGATATATCAGCGTCCTGCAGTCGTGCCGCTGCCAATTCAAGTACAGACGCATCGCTTAAGGAATCCGCAGTTCGGTCCAGACAGACTCTGTACCCTTCCCAATCTGTTATCCTAGGATTCGGGTACGTTACTTTGATGGGTTCTGAATCCCCTATGCTAAAGTTTATGTGTCTGTGATCCGAACAAACACCTCATCAGACACGTACCAGTTCATAACTATCTCGCGGTTGAATGATTCCTCAATAGTTATGTCGATTACTTGCTCTTATTTGGAATTAGGATAAGTCAGTTTATTTCCTACATTTAATATGTCTAAATTATGTTCCATAATAAACTGAAGGAGTGACTCACATCTTAAGTTGGTGTTGAAACTTCCCCAGGTCAGGTGGTGTACATTTGAATCACAGCCAATGATCAGATCAGATCTTTTGCCTCTGCATCTCACTAGCTCTTCCACTTTCCTGGTCGGTGGTGGATCTGGGTAATCAAATGGAAGATACACCGATCCAAGTGTTAACGACCTCGGCGGGTTTCCATACCCAGATTGAATCCTTACTGCGACAAGATCCATCGATGTGAAGTTCGTCAGTGAAAATAGTTTTAAGCCTTTCCTGGATATAATGCAGGCTCTTGGATTGGCGGAAGGTCTACTATAAATTAGTTCTTCTCCTGGCCCCCAAGTTCCTGGATGAGGGCGACATCAAATTTGCTCACCGCAGCAGTAAGAGCTGCCGATGCCGCTTTACTATGCTGGAGGTTCGCCTGAACCCTGATCCTCTCCATCGAGCCCCCTCAGCACACTGAAGAATACCCTCTTAACCTGTAAAAGGCCCGGAGACGGTTACTCATCAGGACTCTGAAGAATGGAAAACGACAAAGTCACTCTCTTGCGCTCCTGTATCTTAGAACTGAGGAGATGCCAGCACGTCACTCTCAGGTCAGGGTTTAACCTCCCAAGTCGTTGGATGATTGGCTCCTCCTCACCCACCTTCACGCCCTGTTCCGGAATGAACATCAGCGCCCTGAGTCTCCATGGAAGGTCCCTGGGTCCAACCGCAGTAAAATCTGCACCCTCCCACAGTCCCCCAGAGATACAACTGCCTCCCGAAGTCAGGCCTTAGTGGGTTCCTTAGCGCAGGTCATCCGAAGGACCCCTCCGCTAAACGTGGTGTCGAGGAATTGTAGAGGACGACTTCTCGTACTATCTTCGTCCTCTTATGACCAGATCCGCTTGCTTGTCCGGGTGGCGTCTGTCAATTACCGCAAACTGGTCCGAAGCTGCCTCTCTATAAGACATGGCAGGTCCTTTGTCCTGCCTTGGCCTTTTTTTGGGGGGTCTTTGAGGCTTCTCGGGGTCTTTCACCCCTTGACTGACTCTTATCCTCTGGCTCAGCTTCGTTTCGGTTTATTTGTGTCCTAGGAGGTTTGGCACCTTGCTTCACTTGGCTTTCTTCTTCTTTTTATGGCGAGGGTAATCCTTGTATCCTTTCCGCAGTCCCATCCCACTGTTGCATGCAGAAATGGATGCAGCGGTTCCTTACGACCCGCCAGATTCATCATAGTCGTGACCTGAGTTCACTTCCACGACAGTATCGTCCTCACGAGTTCCCTTCGAAGAGTCCGTGTCCCTCTCCGTCTTCCTTCTCTCTTCTTCTTGATTTTTACTCTTGTCCACATTTTTCACACGAGCACGAGTTGCTACAGTCCATCCTCCTAGTGACTGATTATTAGGATAAGGAATAATTCCGACTGGGTGCCCCCGGCTCCCCAGAAGGCTCCGTTTAAGTCATCGTTTTCCTCCGGTGTCATCCAGCCCTCAGCTCAGGTCGCATAACACCTTGGCTTCTAGGGTTCTTCAGTTCATCCCAGCCCCTTGACCCCAAAAATAATAATATTAGTTTCTTCTGATCGTTTGTGTTCATCATAGTTTCAAATTTTTCGATAATTGTGACGAATAGCGTGCAGTTTTTCTAGACATTAATTCATTTTAATCAGTGAAATATCTATGTTGTATAAAATAATACGGGTCTGCCGGCGTGATATCGTATTGTAGTAGGACAAATTCAACTTCAATGTCATTGACCTGCATTGATTTTCATAAATATCGTTATAATTTATTATAATTGTTATTGTATCACAAAATAGTAAAAACATGAGATTCGTATACGAATATCGTTATTATCTGAATACAACTAGCCGACAAAGGGTTACAAAAATGAATGGTTTGCATTTTACGCTTTGCAGACTTTGTTATTACAGACCTTTGTTTTTGTTGTATAATTTCTTATCTGGATTCTACCATTTTTCTAAAATTTTATTAAGCAAAAGCAACAGTATATATTCGTTTGGACCAGATAAATGTGTTAAAAATAATTGTAACCCAGAACCATCTCTATTTACCTCGAAGGGCGACATACAGATTAGGTAGAGCAGCAAATACATGTGATAATGGACTGTAATCAAGGAGTTTGTTGAAATCTTCATCTAATTAACAACCAATATACCCTTTTTGCCATTTGCTTGGGTATTGATGTTTGTTTTGAATCTGGTTCTATCATCTACAAGATATGATATGATATGATATGATACTTGTTTCCGACTGGCCAATTTTTGATGCAGTTTTACGAAAAAGCTGTCTAGTTCGTCACTGATGATCCGGATCATAGGTTTTGATCTCCGGAACAAGTGGCAAAATATGTTTTTGTAGCTAATCCAGGTGATTATGATAAGGATCAAGATTTCAGATCCCGCGAATCAATAGTGAAATCGTGCCTAAGGCATTTTGAGTTTGGACCAATGGGAAAAGATCTCATCGAAATGCAATTTGACGGAAGCTGTCAAATATCTCTGAATATCAGTGATTTCCATCGAAATATTGAATAAAATCGTGAAAAAACGATTGTATTATAAACAAGAGCACTTTTTGATTACAACATGATGGTTTTGTACAGAGAAAGCAGCTCATCTTTCATCTATTTTGCTTTTCCTTATAAATTTACAAATAACAGACCGTTATCCCTTTAACGAATGGGAATGCGACAAACAATAGGTCGATTTTGTAGCTGTTAAATTTGATAGCAACTTTGCACGTTTCTTAATGCATGGCAATCTCGAAGTTCTATATACTGTTTATATGTTATATTTATAGCTACATACCTGCTGAATAGTGCGGATTTGTCTGTATTTTGCAAGAAAATAGAATATACATATCATATTTTACAGTGTTTTGTTTTGAATACTTTGATGCTATTTGGTGACGGAGAGATCTTCAGGCTCATTGGGTATATTTGACGGTCTGCTTGATACTCGTACCCTATTGGTAGAAAATAATGGTTTGTTAGATTGTGAAATCGGCCCTAAGAGTCACATAAAATGTGGAGTTTGTTAAAGAAAACTTCCTTAAGCAAGCCAGACCCGTTATTTAAAGTAAAATATGTATAAGTGTAAATAGGTAGCTAAGACATCTACCACGCCATAGGGAGCACATAAGCAGCTCGTTTCACATGTTACATATTTGCTCACAAATATGTATTTTGTTAGTGTTTCTCCAACGCCACGGACCTAGATTCTACTACCCGCTAATTCCTTTGAAATCAATTTTCAAGTTCTGAAATGATAACGGGGAAACCTAACGAAATTAAAAAGTAAACTACAAAAACAAAAACTATTTGTATACGATTTTTCATACGGGCGCTTTCGCAATGGCAAGAATTTTTATCAAGCACCAACTTGATATGAAAAATAGGTGCCAGCGGGATTCGAACACTCATCTCCTCAATTCCGTGTATCCGCCCTAACCAGATGTCAACCAACTTCCAGGATCGTCTGTTAGAAGCAAACTGTTTCACTTGAACGCCGCCAGATGGAACATCAAGCAGCTTGAAAAAACAAAGTATTAGTGGCGTGGATATGATTGGTTAGGTCGGTTCCACCGAATGGAGGAGATATAGGTTCGAATCCCTGCGGCGGCCATTTTTCATATCTCTCATTGGAAAAGTCATATACAGGTTTACTGTCAAACGGTGGTACCATGGTGTGTGCCCACAAGACAGCGTGGTGCAACTGGAAACCGATTGGAGATACCTTATTAATCCGGTTTGTTTTAATTGAACGTCGTCAGATGAGGCTTCAAGCAGTTTGAAAGAACACAGTAACAGTGGTGTGGGTAGGATTTCATTTGCCTCTAACAGTCGATCCTGAAAGCTGGTTGGCAGCTGGTGCTGTAGACTAATTGGCCCATTTGGCCTATCTCTCAAGTTTTTCTATACTAAAACCTGTCTAAGTATATATATATATATATACGTAATTAGCAACATCCTCACATACCACTGTAAGTTAAGTCAATTTAAATTCATTTTACACTATTGTTGCTACTGTTATCAATGTAATTGCAGCTCCTGATGATGATGGCAAAGTCCATTGAAAGCTAGAGAGAATAAGAAAGTATAAAGAGTCCTCTTTGCTTAAATGTTTGTCGAAGTACCCAACAAAAGGCGGAAGCTTTAATTTTTCACCTAACTGGTCTAGACGACAATGATCACGTCTCAAGTTATATATATATATATAAATCTCAATTTTTTACTGGAGTCGGGTTTTGACATCTAATTTTTAAATCAGAGGTGTGTAAGGTTTTTGGAAATCGCTCTTTTTAATATAAGGAGCATTTTTTCTCAGAGAAAGATTATTTCTGTACGTAAATTATGAAACATGATCATTTTCTTCTATTTTTCAACATAGTCAACATTAAACATTTGTCAATTTGTGGCGCTAGCTTTTAGATCCCATATTTAAGGAACGCAGTTGGCTGACCGTTAAACCAGCTAGTAAATGTTTCTTTCAACTTGTCATCATTTCGCCAGCGCTTGCCACCAAGAAATTCTTTAAGTTTTCGAAAAAGATGGAAGTCTGATGGTGGTAGGTCAGGGCTGTATGGTGATCCAGTAATTGTTGTCGTAAACCAAAAGGACGCCGCCAGAAGGCAGGCCCCGTCGGTGGTTTTGAATAGCGCGCCTAAACTTCAACTGTGTTTTACAGCTCCCGTCACAATTTATGGTAGGACTAAGTTTTTTGCGTGTGCTTACTGATTGACATGGCGACAAACAAAGTCGTATAACCACGCAACCAACACCCACCTAGGCGTCAAATGTAATTGCGGCAAATTCGAAAGACTGACCAAGAGTATATCAGGCTTAAATTACAGGAAGCGCGGACCCGATGAGCGTTGTGTTCATACTATAAAAATGTTCCGTAGAACTATAATTTAAGAGTACAAAAATTACAAAGCAATCATTGTATACTGTTAAAACTACGGCTTTGGGCACCTTCTTCTACTAAAATAGCAAAATTTAAAAAAAACAGCCACAAATTTTCACTGGATCTTAGTTTTCCCAAGTAATTTTTTCCATCGGTCCACGTACAATCTAAAAATTCGAAATTCATCCCATTTTTGCTTCCCCCGCAGCAGTTCTGTACTTATTCAATCGACAATATACCCTTGTAAATGGCTCGTCGATCCACCAATAAGAGGCCAATTCATCTTAACCCTTCTAACGCAACACGGGTTGAGGGAAATCCAATAACCGAAATAAATATCCGTGCCACGATGGCGCTGTGCTGCTTGGGAACAACAATAAAACTCGACGCTCATTCTTCTCTTGGTGCCACCGCTTCCTACTTCGATCCCACTTAAAACTTCCGCACAACTCTGAGATGAAAAATTAAACTCCCTCCAGCAGACCGCACCCGTCCGCCTGGTATGGCCAAGGAAGTTTTCGAAGCAAAAGTCGCGTAAACTTTGTTCGGATGAAGGTATTAAAATGCCGGGCTTCGAGTCGACTAGGTTGAAGCTACAGGTTCTACTTAGCATTCGATCGAGTTTAGACTTAATTATACGGGCCGGTCGTTAAGTGAGCCAACCCTCTTACCCAGAAATCAGAGTATACTTTCCCGAAGGTTTCTGATGCGCTAAATCGGAGTCCAAAACGAATTCGTATAGATTAGGCGGAGAACACCATAAATGTTTACATTGCATGGTTTGTTGCAGAAATTGCGTGATTTTAGTGCATACTTTTGACTCATTTGACTACCAATGCCTACTAGCGACAACATTGTGTCACCTTAATAAAAATACTTACCGGTTGAAAAATCTTCCTTCATTAGACTTGTGTCGCTCTTTGCAAATTATGCAATAAGTATTATGTCATAAAATCATCTAACACCACAATTATCTGCAAACGCGGGCGGTGAAAAGAGGCGAGGTCTCGAAATTCGTTCATATTGGGTCTGTTTGAACATTGCGTCGGTGTGAAAAAGTAAACACAATTTTTTTTGTGGCACGTTAATTTCGTTGCTCCAAAATATACCCTAAAGTGTGTATAAAATATATTAGAAATTTTAAAATGGGACACGCATTCACTAAAAAGAGATATTTTTATATATACTAAGTGACATATAAATCCGAACACCCAGTTTAAATGGTTTTATTTTAATAAAAGTTGGTGAATGTATTTATCTTACTGTACACAAAACCGACTGCCTCCCCTCTTCCTCACATCCTTACCCAACGTCTACCAAGACGTCGCTCCACTCCATTCACCTATGGCGCGACAAATAGAAAAGTCCGGTTCATATTTAATTCACCCTCGTATATTGAAATTCAGAGAAATTTCAAACTGCAATACCTCAGCGGAAAAAGGGAAATTTAAGCAAATTCGACGGCATTTGAAAATGAAGACGCTCGTACTTCGAGAAAATGCCTATGGCTTTCTTGAAAAAAAAATGTTCAAAATGCTACATAATTTCAAAGAACAACCTTTTGATTTTGGGGTTCATTTAAATTTCTTCACAGGTGATGAGGGGAGATACTAGTGGAGAACCAACAATAGGACCGAATGTCGTCATTGCTGGCAATAACGGACTCAAAGTGGCGCACGGATATAATATTTATTCGAATTCTAAGATGACTTTCCACATAAAAATGAGTGAACAAGGCTGGTAAGTGACAGTACTAGTGCTGATTACCAGAAAATCTTCCAGTTAAGCATTTGTATTTGTTATTAAAAGAAGCTCCAAATATTTTGAAACTTAAACCATCGATTTCAGGTACTTTTTCGATGAAGAAAAGCTACCCACTCCGCAAAATTCCTTCCAAATTCAACCGGTTAGTCGGCAAGATTTTCTAAGTATTCTGTCAGATATCAAATATATTTTGCTGCGGTCTACATTTCACACGGATCAAATAGAGGCGTTGCTAGAAGAAGCTAAATGGGATGTTGGAGTAGAAGAAGAAGGGTACTCTAGCGTTGAGAAGTGCTCGTGTCCTTCAGGTAATAATGTAACAATAGACATCTAGGAGTATATTTTTTGTATATTATGCAGTTTTTATAAGTTCGGGGATCGGAGAGAGTCAGTCGCAAGTCACTCATAAATTAAAAATCACACAGCCTTACAAAATGAAAAACAAATTATTCATGCCGAAAACTTAACAACCAATTTTACACATCTTTGATGCGCTGATTCCAGGCATGTTTTTCATTTTTCCGTATCAGGTCTAGTTTCAGAGGTATGAGCGACATAATATTTAAAAAGTGCAAAATATGTTATTTTCACCTCGGAGATCATATGAAAAAAAAAATCTACCGTTGCCAACATTCCTAAAACCCATTAATGAAATTCCAAAGCATTTTAGGTAGCATTGCTATTGTAAACCTTCACTTTTTAATCACGTATAGTGGATATATCGTGTCAGATATGTTTATTAAATGGTGAGTGAGCTGACATCTTAAAGTATTTTTTTATACAGAAGCAGCAGCGTAGGCAGAAGCCGATGAGGGCACCACAGCTGCTATGAGCAGCTTAACAAACTTCACAACACAACAAATCCAATTTTTGAACTGTCTAACGTTAATAAAATTGGGAAAAACCCCCTCAGGTAGATTGTTCGACAATTCCGATACCCTTAGGACCAAGGAGCGGTCGTGTCGGCCAGTTCTGGATGAAATACTATAAGTTCGACACGGTCAATATGGGAAGTGTTGGCGGATCTGTCGGACATGCACAGCGCTCAGCGACACCAAGGAGGAAAGATCTGAGGAGCAAAGTCCGTTGACATAGCGATAGAAGAGATCGAAATCGTCGCCGTTGTTGATGTCGATGCGATCAGACCGCCCATCTTACGGTCTTATACCAGAAGCTTCGTGTGGGCAACCCTTTGAATCGACGGTACTCGAGAGTTGGGGACATCCATGATGGAGTTGGCAACAAAGATCTTGACACTGGGGTGTCCCAAAAAAATTCATTTTAAAAATTCCAAAATTTACAAAAAACTTTGCCCATCCCAACTCAGAGCACACAGCCTGATACTAATCCAACTCAAATGAGAATAAGTGCTAGCATTAGATAGGTGTCAGTTGAGAAATGCAGTTTTTATTATTGACGCAACCATTGAGGCACTTGGACATAACACTGACGAGTTTCCTATTCTATTTTATTCTAATCTATTCAATAATTCGTACCGTAAAGCGGAAGGGGCGCGCAGAAGCTATAAAGCTTGATTTAGAAAGCAAGGTACCGGATACTGTCCACTAGGATGGAAAATAATTGTTACTCTTGAATGCACGCAAAAAGAGTCAGGCAGTTTGGGATGCTATTATTTACTGGAATCTGGAAGGCAAAGCTCAGATTCTCTATTGTGATACTAGTTCTACTAATAGCGGTGCCTGCATGCGTCTCTAACAGAAACTTAATAAAGAAATGCTTTTTTTTGCTTGCCGTCATCGCGTCTACGAATTGGTGTTAATAGCCGTGCTTGAAGCAAAGATCGCCCAAGTGACTACAAGCCCTGATATTCCAACGACTAAAACGTTTCACGAGAGCTGGAAAAGCGTGTGGATCCCGAGAAAATACAGATTTATACTGAAAAGCTATTATAAATGATTATTCGTAGTCTGAGAAGCTGCTAGAATTTTATCGACAAGAATTGACTAAAGAAGTTGCTAGTTTGCTTGTTTCATCCCTACTGAGCGGGGCCGTGGCAAATGCTTGTTCCGGAAGTTGTTGTATCCAGTATATACAACTTCTTCTGTTTCAAGTGATTGTACACGCGTTAAGGGATACCTCAGTAGCTTGATAAGCGACAGGCAGTACGGTTTCTGGCACCAGCGATCCACAGGAGACTTCTTAGCTGACGTCATGCCTTTGTGGAGTAAACTCATCCAGTCTTATGGTGAGGCTCATGCCGTTGCTCTTGACATCACGAAAACGTTCGATGAGCTGTGTCACTGTGCCCTCTTATGCAAACTTCCTTCCTATGGCCTCCCAGAAAAGCTTTGCAGATGGATGGCTGACTCTGGCCGCAAGATATCACAACGTCAACGCGGGGGTTCCACAGGGATCGGTTTTTGATCCGACACTTTTCCTCTAACACAGAGTTCCCCAAACTTTTTTGTGTCGTAGACCCCTTGCCATGCTTTTCCGTGTTGGGTAGACCCCCTACTTACCTGATATTGATTTAATGTAAATTTCTAACTGTAGTGAAGTTTAGTGTTAAAAATTTAAAGTAAAAACACATGTTAATTTATACATTTATTAATTGAATTTAAATTAAAACTACTCAAAATAAAATTTTGTATCTGTGATGTAAAGTATACGTAACATTAAATAAACAGGTGTCTGACCAATAAGTGCCCGCATTGCTAATAAATGCCCGCATTGAAAAAAAAATAAGAGGAATAAAATAAAAAACAAAGTGAAAAATAATAAAAAAAAGTTTTATACTAAAATAGTACAATAAGCGAGTTCGTTTATTAATTATAACATAAACGTATGTTCTACAATCATTTCACTGTTAGATTGATTAAATTCCGCTTCTGATACGTTTAAGTTATCGAAAAATAGGCAAAAAATTAACGAATTTTAGTGTGTACCTTGAATTTTCAGAATAATTTAAAAAAAATATATTTTTTCTATAAAGGGGGGTTCTTTAAAAAAATCAATGCGGGCATTTATTGGTCAGACACCAATAAACATAAAATAAACTATAAATAAAATAACATAAGCAATAAGTCAATCACATTAAAGTTCTTGCGAAGAGCAGTTCTTCGTAGATTTCTTGATTCATAATAAAACGAACATATGCCAATAATAATGCTGCATTATCAGGTAAAGTTGACTCGTCCAGTTGGATAGAGAAATGGGTCATTTGCCAATAATTACATAAGAAGCTTTCAATATCAGAACTCATTTCATCAATACGTCTTTCAACAGTATTGTTGCTTAAGGGAATTCTTTTAATGATATCAGATGCAGGTTTGTGTAAAACAGTTTTTAAAACCTCTTCAACGGCTGGCAAAATTAACTTCTCTCCGATAGTATGCGGTTTTCCGGATTTTGCTATAAGTAACGAGATATTGTAAGACGCCCGCAAACCATCATCATTTCTTTGTGACGTCGAAGCGAACATTCTGTCCAGTGTAGATCTCTTCTGAAATTTATCTTTGAGTGTTTGAAAGTATTTCAAAACTTTCTCTGTTTTATCAGGGTGGCATCTTTTCAAATGATCTTGCAGTTTAGATGGTTTCAGTTTTTAAAACCTCTTCAACAGCTGGCAAAATTAACTTCTCTCCGATAGTATGCGGTTTTCTGGATTTTGCTATAAGTAACGATATATTGTAAGACGTCCGCAAACCATCATCATTTCTTTGTGACGTCGAAGCGAACATTCTGTCCAGTGTAGGTCTCTTCTGAAATTTATCTTTGAGTGTTTGAAAGTATTTCAAATCTTTCTCTGTTTTATCAGGGTGGCATCTTCTCAGATGATCTTGCAGTTTAGATGGTTTCATAGCGTCATTGCCTAAAACTTTGTTTCATAAAAGGCACATAGGCGATTGTTTGTCCGGCAATGATGGAATGAAGCCAAATTTCAAATAATCAACACTGTACTGTCTACATTTCTTTTTAGATTCGGACATGGCATCAGTCATCTGTGGGAAAATTAAATTATTTAAATAAGACAGAAAATCCAGTAGCTGTATATTAAAAATATTTTTTGATTTTTCCGAAAACATTCCATAATTCGAACATCTTCTTGCAACAATTAGCTCGAATTACGGAGATTGCACTGTAATTATATTACCGATTGCTAAAACTTTCAAAAAGAAACTATTGAGGAGTACTCGTGTAATTTTGCATGATTGAATATTTAACTACTAATAACTAAAGTCATGATTGGCGTAATTTATCTATCTTTGCTAACTACAAGTACAAAACTAAAATTTAATAAAAAATAATGTACTTACTTTTCTCCAGCACTCTCAAACAAAATAACACTGACTCACTATAATTTGTGTGATCTATCTGTTTATATTTTTTTAAATATTTTCTTAGCACTTTCCTTTTCAAGATTCAGGAAACGAATAAACGTATTTGTCCCACATTCGTATTTATAGAGTGACGAATTGAACAAGTCAGTGCAAGGTAGCGAAGCTCTGAGACTGCGACTCTCAGGTTCAAAATGTATTGCGACCACAAAGCGAATACCAACATCCTACAACTTACACAATTTTATAAACATATATAATAAATTTTTTACTTCATATTTACTTTTATCAATAATGTATATGTTTTGATATTATAAGATAGTATGATGTAAGTAAATAGGTAGTATCAGTGTATGTGTTGAGATCCACTATCGTGGACCCCCATATTTATTCCATGGGCCCCCAAATTTTTTTTCGCTGACGTAGACCCCTTGCAGGTTGTCATAGACCCCTAGGAGTCGATATAGACCACTTTGGGAATCAATGCTCTAACATATCAACGACCTTCTTTCCTGCACGATCAACCCAATCCAAAACTTCGCTGATGACAGCACTCTACATGGAAAAAAGAAGACATGCGACGACTTTCTCTCTGACGCGAGACCTGACAATCTTGTAGAGTTTAATGTTTCCAAAACAAAGTACTGTACATTGACGAACAAAATGTGTCCTAGCGCTCATCCGGTTTCGATGGACGGCCGAGTTCTGCCAAAGAGCCATTCATTTCGGCGGGTCGGAGTCCAGATCACCGAGGACCTGATCTCGTCAATAGCGGCAGCTGCTGAGAAAAAGCTATGCTATTTGATTAGGGCTAAGAAGTATTTTTCTCCGCATGACCTTCTCAGTCTATGCAAGGCCCAGATCAGGCCTAGCCTCGAGTATTGCTCACACATTTGGAGTACCGCCGCCCCGACTACATTATTACGATCGATATCTGCCTGTTCATCGTGACAACATACGTGAAACCGTGGTTTCAATGCACTTTAGTAGTAAAAACACCTTACCATGATTCATGGCAAGGAAGGAATTGACAAAACCAAATAAGCCACCATAAACAATAGATGGCACCTTATACTATCTCAGATAGAGATAAGTAACTATGACTTCGTTCGTTGTCCTGACCGGAGTTCAAGCCTAGACCATGCTGATGAGTTACCAAAAAGCACAAAACGTCTGTCCATGGTTGACTGTGTGTTGTCGGATGGACAAACCCAGTATGTTTAGATGATAGCTATTCTTCGTTTTTTCATTTCGGATAAAATACTGATGACTTTGTTTCAATCAAAAGCAAGTCCTTGTTCAGTCGACTCAAAATTGATTGACAGTTTTCTCGACTAGTGTCCAGCTTCATGGCCACATCATGACTCTTTCCAACACGCTAAGAATAAGGGACAAACACTGGGAGCAGCTAACGATACGGCAGAAGGAACAGTGAATACAAGACTTCCATGGGTTAATCACTGCTGATGAGGAACAAAAACAGTTTTAATTACGTTGGGTACAAGAACACAGGCAGGTATATCCTGACTGCTAAAGAAAACTTTTAAAAGAAAGTTTAGTAAATAATGTTCTTTTAATGATAAATATCTAAGAAATTTAAGATACAAATAAAGCAGTATTTTAGTTTTCGAATAAGAATTAGGTTTTGAAATCCATATATGGTTTCCCTATTAACTGTCAAATTCAAAGTTTCAAAGATCGTTCCCCGATGGCAATAATATTTATCTTTTGAGTTGTTGGAGTCAAATACAAAAAAATTAGAGGGTACGCGTATTTTAATTACAACAAAAATTTGTTTGCCTTCCTAGGCTGGGATACCATAACTTGCCCCTTAGCCTTTGAGTCGGTTACAATCGTTCCATCTTGGTACATAAGCGGTGAAAGCCTAATCTTTGGTAAGTTCCGTACAATCTGCTTGGCCAGAGTCCAGAAAGACCGACGTCACCGCACTGCGATACTTTAAGATGTATGTAAGCTCATTCACCATTTTAACATATGAATAATGGACACGATAAGTATAAGCAATTAAAATATAAAAGTGCACAATATCAATACCCCCTAAAACGCTATTAGAATTTTTAGAGGACGTTTCAAGTATACTTGCGAACCTTAGCAATAACAATATTTTCATTCTTCATACTATTTTTCGAGGTCGAAAGTAACATATTTTCCCAAAATTCAATAGCTTATATCCCGAAAATCGCAGCTGCTGCGACAAAAAGAGGGACATTTTTGAAATCAACATATCAAAAATACTCAGATTCCATTCTTACTCATGTGGCCCAAAATAGCTGTTCGACTGTGTTAGCAATCTTCTATCACGTAGTACTAAATTAGCTGGTTTAGGAAATAGATGTTTTCGTTATAATACCATCTTTTTCTTAGGTTACAGTGGCCTGTCTTGCGAGCAGTGCTCCTTCGGTTATGTACGTGTAACGCCTCCTTCTAATGGCTCCACTCCAGTGCAACATTATTGCGCAAAATGCGACTGCAACGGACATTCTGCAGCGTGCGATTTGGATACTGGAGCGTGCGAGTGCGAACACAACACTGCTGGAGAAAAGTGTGAACGGTGTATGTCCGGGTACTATGGGAACCCGCTTAGGGGTACTACGGAGGATTGCAAGAGGTAATGATTTTATTCAAAAAGATATCTTAGATGTTTCTAGAGCAGCCACACAGTATGCTGTGTAAAGCAGCGTAAATGTAGACATGCCACAATGGGCTGCTGAAACGTCGGTTCAGAAATAAACATCTCAAAAACCTGTGCACAAATCATAATATAGTTATTCTTTTTTAAGATGTGCTTGTCCGTTGGAAAACGAAGAAAATAATTTCAGTCCAAGTTGCCAATTGGATTTTTTCAACAAAGGCGATGGCAGTGATTGGAGTTACGTTTGCACTCAGTGTCCAAAAGGATACACAGGGGATCATTGTGAAATGTAAGTCCAGTTTTGATGATCTTGATATATTTTTATTTCTCCCTGTCTCTATTTCACACAAATAATCCGATAGATGAAAGTTTAAAAACAGTTCTCATTTCGAATGCAATATTAATCCCTTGTTTTCGATTTAATATTCTACACAAGCGATCAACACCGTTATTTAAAAGCGTCATTCAAAAATTAGCCCATTATTTCAAAACACGGTATGAAAAAAGTCACCCATTCAACGTTATCTATAAAAGTGAGGATCGTGACCATTATTTCAAAATACTGGTTCAAACAAAGATTACAAAGTTACTAGTAGAAGGGCCACTCTCGAAAAAGCCCTTGATCTTCAGATTTCTAAAGATGCCGATAGTTTTCTAAGAACTCCGATCCTTTTTTTTATTTGCCACACTTGAGAAGGTCCAGCTCCTTTTTATTGCTTTATACAAGGTAGTGCTGTCGTACTTTAAGGCACGAACCGAATAGGTTGTCAAAAATTTGTTTGCAATAGCACCCAGTCATTGTATTTATACAGGGTGACATATGCCATTATTCTTTTTATGGAATAGATGACAAGTATCCTTTGCTTTAAAAAAAATGCGTTGAAAAATAGTTTTTAGCCTTTCTGGCGATGATTCACCTTCTTTGTCATTACATAACCTCAGTAACCACTGTGCCGATTGTGTCAAAATTTATATTGTATAGTCACAAGTTTGAAAGTGGATGTTAGTAAAAGACAAACATTTTTTAATTTTTTTTATCTGTAGTTTCGTGCAAAACTAGATGTTGTCTACATAAACCAGCTCAACCAAGTTCCTTAATTTCCTCTAATTTGTTATTTTGGATATTAGAAGTAAAAGTACACTCACACTCATGAGTAATAGATACACTTTGGAGGAATCGCCTTCGTCAATTACACTTTGACCTGAGCTCCTGCAATAACAGTACATGCCTCAAATCATTAGCAAGGCAACGAACCATCGGAACACCATTTTCCTCCTTTATTTTGCATCCAAACATGCAGCATCAACTTGTCATAGAGGATCGCCCTGTATAAATCCAACAGCCACGCCGACTACCTGGGTAGTTATACTAGAGGCAGTATCTTCGCATCGGTTTAGAAAAATATTTCGATTGTTTTTTTATATAATCTAATTCAAAAAAGATCCCTTGTAATGCATGTTGTCAGACCTAAAATTACGTCAAACATTGTTATTGTTCCTTTTTATTAAGGTTGTGCAAAATCCCTAACAGAATATTTTTCCGAGTTGACTCGAAGATCCTTTCTGGACTATTACCGCAGATAAGATTAGTTTCCACGAAAAATGTACCTCGACAAAAAGGTGTTTTTTATACTAATTTGAGATCGCTGAAAACGAAAATGACTCTCACATATTTTTCCAAAGAACCGTTTACGAGCTTTTTGCAGAAAACGGGTTTTTTGTGTCATATTATCTGAAATCTCGGAAATGGTAGGCGTCATTTTTGGACGTGTGTAACTTTCAAGACCCACACATATTTCCTTCATGGCAATATATGATTTGCATCAATTAAACTCGTAGTGCAAAATATCCCTTGAAAGTTGAAAGGACAAAAAATGTTTT